CTGCTGAATGCGGAGTGAACTTCAACTGAAATGGTGCTCTTTCTCGTGCAAAGGTGACACTGCTCCCCGCCCGACCCCACCCCAAGGTCAGAGAAGCCACGTGCAGCAGCTACAAATGAGGCCGGCAGCTTCCAGACTGACTTCTGGGGAAATCTGTGGTTCTTCAGATGTGTTCTGGGGGGCAAAGGAACTCTGCGAAGGTTCGATTCTAACTTCCCCTTCAGAGTGCATATTTGAAACCTACTCTAATAGGGCGCCTGGGTGGCTCAGTCGGTTAAGCGACTGCCTTCGGCTCAGGTCATGATCCTGGAGTCCCGGGATCGAGTCCCACATCGGGCTCCCTGCTCAGCGGGGAGTCTGCTTCTCCCTCTGACCCTCCTCCCTCTCATGCTCTCTGTCTCTCATTCTCTCTGTCTCAAATAAATAAAAATAAAAATCTTAAAAAAAAAAAAAAAGAAACCTACTCTAATAACTGAACATTCGAATCTGTAGTAACACAACACGCGTCCTCAGATGTGTTCCAGGCGCAAATGGGTGATGATGCAGACCCTCCGTGCGTGAATGGGAGCAGTTGGGGCTTCTCACGCGCACGCAGACCTCAGGATCGAGAGTCCTCGTCATGTCCGTGTAACTGAGGAATATCTGGGATTGGAAGGAGGGCTGTTAAAACAAAACTGATGTTAGTTGCAAATTCTAAGCTGGATGAAATCAAGATTTCTGTATTTTTTTTTTAAGATTTTATTAATTTATTTGTCAGAGAAGGAGAGTGAGCACAAGCAGGGGGAGCGGCAGGCAGAGGGAGAGGGAGAAGCAGGCTCCCCAGGGAGCCCGATGTGGGGCTCGATTTCAGGACCCTGAGATCATGACCTGAGGGGAAGGCAGAAGCTTAACCAACTGAGCCACTCAGACGTCTCAAGATTTCTGTATTCTGTGCAACCAAAGCCAAACACAGAAATAAACTGGATGCTGGGATTGATGCACATAAACTGTCATCCCTAACCTTGGATTTAAAATGCTTTCTATTGGGATGCCTGCGTGGCTCAGTGGGGGTAAGCATCTACCTTCGGCTCAGGTCATGATCTCGGGGTCCTGGGATGGAGCCCCACATTGGGCTCCCTGCTCAGTGGGGAGTCTGCTTTTCCCTCTGCCCCTCCCCCTGCTGTGTTCGCTCTCTCTGACAAATAAAATCTTAAAAAAATAATAAAAAACTGCCATTAAAAGAAATGCTTTCTATTTAATGAAATAGTTTCAACGTTCTCACTGATTTACCTCGAAAGTTATGTGAACTCGGAAAATACGTTAATAAAACTTCTGTTTCGTAGAGTGTGTCTCGTGCATTTGCAAACCACAGGTGTAGCACAAAGAGCATGTGCGGACGGAGGCCGGAGTCAAGCCCGCGCACCACCACCTACCAGCCACACAGCCTCAGTGGCATTTGCTCTCCCGGCCTCCAGCTCCACATCTGTGAAATGGAGCGGATCATACCGACTTCACAGGGATCTGGATAGCACCATGTATTCGGGACGCAGTAAATCCTCAGTGACTAGCTCCCGCCCAGAAACAGATAGGATTGGATCAGCGCAGACCTCACAGTCTCACGATCAAAGGCATCACCTGCCTGCCAGACAGCAGCCAGGCTGCAGCCAAGGGCCGGGGCTGAACCAACGGGCCCTCACCTACAGTCAGCGCCCTCCTCTGATAACCGAGCCGGCGAGCTGCGGTGCCAACACTTCGAATCCTTTAAGAGCCGTGCCAGGGATGCAACAGGGTATGAGGTTGTGGGGTGTCTCTGTGTGAACTCATGTTTTCTTTATACAGTATGTGCCATTTCTCCATCTGCCTGTTAATCCTCTTCGGGGCTATGCTAGGCAGCGCCACCACAGGGCTTTTGTTTGTGAAGGATTCTGTGGCATGCAGGCTCTCCAGCTGCTGGTCCCTTCCCTTCTCCCTGAGAACCGCCTTCCTTCTCCATCAGCACAAAACAAACCAGCACAAGAAGATAGATTTTCTCTCCCCCATTTCACCTGGTACCCCTGAAAGTTGTGGCCCGCTTTGCAAATACTTGTCTTGGCCTCAGAAGGAAAGGGAAGTTGTTTGAGAAGCTGTTCTTAATTTCACACTTTTGAAAAATTACCCCAAACAGAAGGAGGCCCGGCAATCGTACAGATTCCATTTGATTACTGAGCAGAAGCTACCAGAGCCCTCAGATTAAGTGATAAACATTCCCAGGGGACAAGGCACCGAACCCTGTTTAACTTTAATATCGCTCTATCACTTAGCACTCTCTGTATCAATATCCCCAAAGGGAACTGAAAACCCAGCTTACAGGGATTCAGCTGGCCTTGGGAAAGGTCTAGACTTCTTTGAAAAGCAAACCGTAAAGTAAACCAAATAGCTGGTGAACGTCTGTCTGTCCCAAGATACTCTTGCGTAGTTTCTGAGTCACTGTAGGTAAGGGAGGGTGGGGGAAGTGGGCAGGCAAGAGTTTTGTCCCTGCCTGCCATGAATGGCCAGTTGAAGTCTGGTCTGTAGACACCAGACACCATATCTAAAGAATTCGTTGGGAGGGCAGCCTTTGGCAGCCCTTCTAATTTGCATTCAGAGGAAACATGCCACATTTTCCACAACAGGCTGCCCAGCCAACAGGAGGGAGGGGGGAAGCTCCCTTCTCCGTGTCTGCAGGTTTATCCCTAAAGACTATGAAAGTAGCAGCTGCTAGGGCAAGGGGATTATAGGGTTTGGAGAGTCCTCAAGCTTTTGAGTAAGTTGTGTATCTCGAGCACGACCGAAAAAGGCAGAGGCCAGCTATTCTGACGCCTGCCTCAGATGCGGCTGGCGCTCAGCAGCAGTTATGTTGGGCACGGGCCATCTTGTTCAAGTCAGTCCAGGGACAGAACAAGCCCTATGGCCACCCACCATCCAGCCAGGCCAGCTGCCGGTGGTTCAGGCCTGGCCAGCGAAAATGAACGCTTCCTACTTCACACTGAGCATGTGCACGCCGCCTAGCCTTAGGCAACCTACACAGCCCGATTCATCATAATTCCCTTTTACAGGGGGCGCCGGGGTGGCTCAGTCGGTTGGGCGTCTGCCTTCGGCTCAGGTCGTGATCCCAGGGTCCTGGGATCGAGCCCCACGTCGGGCTCCCTGCTCGGTGGGAGTCTGCTTCTCTCTCTCTGCCTGCCGCTCCCCCTGCTTGTGCTCATTCTGTGTCAAATAAATAAAAAATCTTAAAAAAAATAATTCCTTTTTACAGACCCTGGAAACTAAGGTTCAGAGGACCAACGAACTCCTCTGACGTCAAAGTACCAGACCCAGACCTGGAGACTAGGTCTTCTGTGGAAGTTTCCAGTGTTGGGCTGCTTGTGTTTCAAATGGACGCCTTCGTCCCATCCTGCTGCTCTCCAGGGCCTCCCACGCCTGGCTGTGTAGGTGGGCAGGAAGGGAACCGGGCAGGTGAACCGGCATGCACTGCCCTTCTGGAGGGTTATAAGGAAAGGTTTCTTTTTTCATCAGCTTGATCTCTGGGCACCCTGTTGAAGTGGGGAGCTGGTGACAATAATGGAAACTGGGTAATGATCTCCAAGCCAACCGAATCAAGTGCCGCAACAGATTTTCCACTGCTGAAAGGAACACCAGACTTCCCAAGAAGTTCACTGCAAAATGCCCACCCAGTTATTAAGGAAGCAGGATTAACTTACTGTGTACAGGAGAGCACTCCTTTGCAGTCACATGGAAAAGCAGGCTATGACTGGAACAGCACAGTGGAGAAGGGAAAGTCAACAGGATAGAAATTCAGGGCACAGGAAGGGTCCCAAACTGGAAGCAGTACACTTTATACTATTTATAGAGGGTGTCCAGCACAGCCCAGACATGCCAGGACCCTGCCGACGAGGGGGGCTGTCCTCAGGCATCGCTCCCTTCGGAGTCAGGGAAGGGCCCCGTCTTGGGCAGGGGGCAGGGGAAACGCTGCGGGGGGCCCACGGCTCATGAATTTCCTGATTCTTTCCTATGGTCCATTCTGTTTTCTGTCAACAGTGAGGAAATACACCCTAGCAAGTGACATCCAGTAATGCTTTAATTAACTGTAGTACTTCATGCTCCAATATGCACCGAGAAATCACTTCCAGATGGGGGAAATGAAAGGTATTTACACAAAAAGCAGTCCCTTTATTTTAAGGAAACTGATATCTCCCAAAGGTATAGAACTTTGAGGATCTGAGAGACTATCTCTTTTGATAAATACTAGAATGAGACTGGAAATTTGGATTTGCAACACGGACTCTTTCTGCACTCCAGCTTCTCATGTGGCCATGTTTCCAAGGCTATTGTTTAAGTGGCCCAATGCAGTTCTAATGATTTTATTTTTAGAAATCTGACTTGGAGTAGATCAGAAGTGTGAAACCCTTGCTTTCACCGTCAGCAAGCTAGTTATTTTGGAGACTTCTCTTCCTAGGGAGAGGAATTACATTTTCAGCTGTGACCTTTTGGCATTTTCCCTAGCATTCCGCAAACAGGGGGACTAGATTTCCTTGTGCAATGGCAATCCAGGACGGGCTGGGGTAAGAGCCCCCCATCGGCAGCAGCCGCAGACCTGCTTGCTCGCCCCGTCCGCCCTGGGACTGTCACCCTGGTCTTTGGCAGTCTGCTATCAGTCCGTTTGATCAGCACCGAAGAGCCATCCTGGGCATGAGAGACCAGGCGTCTTTCTCTGGGGGGCAGGCAAAGTCCTAGGTACTAGTTCTTTGTTCTTTAAGAGAGGGAGGAGTGGGGACAGTTTCAATTCCAGAACTGAACTTGGAGGTCAAAACACTCTTGTCCGTTGTGGTTCCTGTCTCACTGTTATGATCCAAACGGAACTTTCTCCAGCCTGGGCACCTCTAAGCCAGCTATCAGGAAGTCTGTCCACAAGAAGAACAGCAGATCTTTATCAATCATAAATTATTAATATTTATTTTAACCACATAAAGTGTCTTCAAAGTTTTTTTTTTTTTTTTAAAGAGTTAGAGAAAGCCGGGGGGAGGAATGGGTACAATATCTAATTTAGCTGAGTAACAGTGTTGTTTGTTACAGTTATTACCAGTGAGTCCTCCTTCATGTTATTTTGAAGTGACAGTAATAGAACAAATCTGTTTGGGGCTTGGCCGTCAAAACTTTAAGAATTCTAGTCTGTATAGGGACAGCACAATTCTGACATGATCCCTATCATCAACACAAGCTTAAAATTAAAGCTGCTGGATATTAGCAACGAATCTTTACCATGTTGGTACCAGCTCAATTGTACAGGAATTACACTTGCTTAGAGAGCCAGGATAAATATACATTTATGAAAATGTGCTACAGGAACACTGTGATAAAGCAAATTTCTCTCTATTGCAGTGGTTTTTAACAAAGGGGTAAACATTGTAATTACTTCTGTACCTGGCCCCACTCCAGACATACTGATTCAGAATCTCCAGGCAACTATACGTGTAAAAAGGGCCCCAGGTGATTCTGATGCGTACCCCCGGTTGAGAAACGTGCTCTGTCTTTAGAGGATGCATACACAGCATTCAGACCCCATCAACGAGACATTTCATATAACTCCTACTGACATCTGTTAGCTCCTTGGAGATTCCTGACAATGTAATAAATCAAGAGAGCAACTTCCCTGGCTGTGACCACCAACTGGGAGAAAACAGCAGCTTCACATCTCGATGCGTTACGGGGATGTCCAGAAGACGACTCCTCAGGAATGAACCAAAAAGAGAAGTGTGCATCTATAGACACCGAGAGGGACAAGAACCAGGTGGAGTCCGCCGGCTTCCCCGGCTCCCCAGGTTGACGACGGCTGGCCCAAATGGCTGTGACGTTTGCAGATGGGCCCATCGGCCCCCCTTTCAAGAGCAGGAAGAGAGGCTAACCTCCATTAGTGCGGGCGGTAGGACGTCACCGGAGTGAGACGACGGCTGTCCCGGCAAAGTGAAGTCTTGCCAGCTGCTCTGCCCGCGTGCTTGCCCAATCCCCTCCCCACCCTATCTGCCCTTTCCTATTTAGCAAGCTTTTCTTGAGAGCTCAGCCAAGGGCCGCACTTTCCTCCCAGCGCTGTTGAGTTTGAGATGCTCAGCATGTCAGAGTCACACGGACAAGCAAGAGGAGCCTGGAAGCTGAGGAACAAACAGGGCTCAGGATCAAAGCTGGGGGCGATGGACAGAGTCTGGGAGGAGGTTAACGGAGAGGGAAGGGGATTGGAGAACAAGAAGGGGGGAAATCATCAGTTCCTGGTCTGCTTTTCAGACCTTAAAGTGTCCTCCTGTGTGGCTATCACAAGTTGTATGGATTTTCAGGAAACTTCCTCTATCCTGAAAACCCATTTCTGAGTGCTATTTGATATCCCAATTTTATCCCGAGGCCTGTTACGTGCCTTCTCTGTAAAGAGCTCCTCCTTCCTCCTTAGCTCTCTCCCCACCTGGCCAGCAACTTGTTCCGAATTCCCGAAGAATGCCCACACTAACAGCGGCCCCCCCAAGGCTGTGGTCACGGTGAGCTGGGGTTCGGGGTCCCCGCGAACCTGGCCAATCAGGGCAGCTACCTGCTATGCTGCCCGTTCTCGCGCTGCAGGATGATGTGAGGACGGAGGCAGTTCTCTCTGCCAAGCTGTGCTGGCTGCGTGCCAGCGGACAGGACGGGCAGGCCAGGGGTCAGGGGTCGGGGTGTGTTCTGGGCTGGGCCAGGCTCTGAGCAGGTGTTTAAGGTCAACATTCTGTTCCTAAGGTATCCATGGACCTGGGTTCTTTCCCATTAGTAATAAAGTCATATGTCATTCTGGCACTTCACATCACCTTTGTTGTTTCAGATCATTCTGGAAAGTAATTTGGGCTTGAAAATAAATGGGCAGGAAGGGGATTAGAGGGCCCAGGCCTCCTGCACTGTCCCACAACTTCATCTGAGGAGAAAGCCTAGGACAATTTTTCTAGGAAAACATCTTAGTTTCTCTTCACAGAAGGCAATCCCTCCTCTAGAAGTCAGGAGCAGGGTGGGAATAAAGAAATGGAGAAAATAATCTGCTTACGTCATGCAGTGAGTGTGCAGATATGGGTCTACCCCCACCCCCAAGCAAGGAGCCCTATGGCACAGAGGACACCTGCTTCCAAGGCCTGGCACATACAATCTTCCTGGGTGAAAGATACAGTGGGACTTTCTCCTTGGATGTATACAGAGGACTGCAGGTTAGGGGGAAACGGGAAGAACGCACTGCCCCAGTCATGACAATACGTACCAGGAAATGGATCTACAAGGAAGAGTGCTCCTGCCTCCATGGCCTTCATAAGGCAAGGCCAATGTCCTCCACCTGCCATTTGCCAACTCGGGCCCCAGAGCCACGCTCACGGAGCAGGGAGGACAAATCTTAGGGCCTGGCTACAGAGGTAACCTCAAACAGCGGCAGATGGAAGGGGGGAGACCCAGGGTTTCTCACCCAAGTTGCCTGCACAGGCACGGGAGACGGGGCCACATGCCGGGCGATGTCACTGCAGAGGTGAGGCGGTGAGGCCAGTGACAAGGGTGGTGGTGGGACACAAGTGGACTGCAGGGCCCTTTCGCCCACCACTGCCTCTGCTGCAGGAATCCGGGACCAACTAAGGAGGCTTTTCATCACCCTGCCCTTGCTTGGCTTCTTGATCAGGATGCGAATCATGACAGGTCATGGGGAAGACTCATGAACAACCCAAATGTCCCAGGAAGTTTTAAGACTGATGATCTGAAAGTCAGGGTGAGCACAGGAGAGGTGGGCGGGGGGGGGGGGGGCTTCCGGGCAGCGGGGTGCTGAGGGTCATGGGCCAGGGGAAAAAAGTGCCCCGTGTAGGCTCCTACAGTCTCTTTTTAATCAGTTTCTCCAGCTTGCGGATACGAGAGGATTCCTGTTCCGGTGTGGGAGCCAGCAGGGACAGTGAGCTGGAGCCTTCTGGCCCCAAAGGCGGGGTGGGTAGCCTCTGGCGCAAGAGTTCCAGCATGCTGCTCTGCTCGCTTCTCTTCAGCCCCTGAGGTTGAAAGACAAAGGAGGATAATCATGAAATCTGGCCCCAGAAAGGCCTGAGGGGAAAGTGCAGTATCTGGTTGTGCAAACGGCATAATTACTCTAGGCTGAGGATGAACACTTTCTTCAGGGGAGTTACCAGCCCGGGCCAGTAGTAGCCCGGGAGAAAAGCAGAGGGAGGGAAAACAGATAAAAGGAAAGGAGAGAAAGAAGGGACAGTGTGGGGAAGGGTACTAGTCCTCTCCACTGCACTCCTTCTGCCCCCAGCCTTCTGGTTCTTGAAGGGACATGGAGATACCAGCAGCATCAGGAAGTTAGCCTGGGATCCTTCTCCTCAGAAGACTTCTTAGAATCTGGTTTGCAGCATGGGGTCAGGCATATGCACTTTGAGAAAGCTCCCCAGGAGCCCATATCCCACCCCCCAGGCCCCGTTAAGAACCACTGAGTGCGACAAAGGTATGCAAGTGTGGACAAAACAAGGCACTGAACTAACCTTCATGTCCAGTATCTTCTGGAAGGTTTCTGTGTTGCAGTCCGTAAGGAGTTTGATATAGTTGTCAACAAACACCACCAATGGTTCGTGAGGGGCCATCACTACCTACCAGGGGAGAGAGACAGGAGTAGGCCTGCAGGGAAAGTCATGACTGCAAGGCAGGTGATCATTTCTCCCTGCTTGCAAGCTGACCACGAAACGGATTCTATAAGATTTCCTTAAGCAACAGCAGCCCTAAGCTCAGAAATGTCCCGATGGCCTATTTCATCTCAAAATTCAATGAGAGCAATGTTTCTTAAATTTGCTAAAGCATAAATATCACCTGGGTTGCTTCTTAAGTGACAGATTTCTATGTCCCCCTCCTGAAGATTTTAACTCAGAAGGACCCGCGTGGGTCCCAGGTGATTTTTACATATCAGAACCATTTGTGAAACACCTTGTTGGAGAGTCTTCCTGTCTGGAGACAGGGATTCATGATACCTGCTCCTTCTGTCCTGAGGCACCTTTATCCCTGAGGGATGGGTCGCAAAAGCCATAGATCTAAGTGGATTTTCCCAAGGACAAAAATTGCAAAGCTGCCTCACTCTTCAAGACTTAAAATCTGAACTTCATTTAACTACATTGTTTAAATTGAAGATTAACATACAAATGGCATTGCGATCCTCAAATTCATTCCTACTTGGTTTTGGAATGCAGTGTCTGATTTTCTTCCTGCAGTAGACTGGTTTTGTTTTGAACTCCTGAGAATGGACCACAGAGGGGCAAGGAAGGAGTAGTTCAGTCAGAAATTCCCTGCAGACAGCTCCCAAGCTGCATGCTCTCCTCCCCGGTGAGGAAGACAGCTGTGGGGAGAATCGGATTAGGCTGCTTCCGAGTTCCTCAGGCCGGACCCTCACCTGGTCCCGTGCATGTCTCAGGTCCCATAGCTACTTTTCACTCCTGCCATCATTTGAGCCATTCTGTTTGGGAGACAGACCTGACGAGCCTGCAGGCCCTGCACTTTTAGGAACATTTCATGATAGTTCCACTTGTTCTCCAGCCTTCTCCCCTCCCCCAAGAGGCCCCCCTCTCTTCTCAAGGGCCGGTGAAAATCAGATACAGGTGCTCAAGGCTTCAGACATTTTCAACATCATCACCCACATATAATAATTTGTTAAATGGGGCTTTAGAAAGCCCATTTGCTGATTAGATTCAATTACTCCAACATCTGTTTGGAGTTCCTGTAAAGTTGCAGAGTACAGAAAGCCGAAGAGGTTTATGTGGAAGGGATTAACTGATACCTGGGCTGGAAATTCCTGCTGAGAAGCAAAGAGATCCTTGACTGAGACACTGATTCACCGTGACAACCCACCTAATTTCCAATCTTGGCCAAATCCCACTACAAGAGAATCCCTTTGCAAAGAAAAATTCATTTGTCAGAAAGAATTACTGATCCCCTGAGTAACTGTCCATTGACTTTCAACAATATCTGATGAGGCCAAAATCTAGTCCAGCCAAAGAATGTGGACAATCCTTTGGGACTGACGGACACAGGCCCTAATCTATACTTTCCAAACCAGTTCTACTTGGAATAAGTCATCAGATAACCAGCCCCTTTTAACAGAAACCCTGAAGAAGATACAAGCCCCACCTTGAGTATCATTTCCGCCCGAGTCATGCCTTTCACAACAATCTTAGTGTAACTGGCAGGTGCTTTCCTCACCACCTGTGAGCCAATGGAAGGTAGATCGAGCAGGACCATCTTCAAGGAATGGGTGTCCAGCAACAGCTGTGGGAATGAAGCAGAATACTACTAGCCACTTCAAAGGGACACAATGCTTAGTATACCTATGCCAATTAATACCATTTTCCTGATTTTAAATGTAATACATTGGAGAGAATTTGGAAAATAAACAAAATTATGAAAGGAAAAACATTCATTACAACTCCTACTGTCCAGGAAAAAACACGGAAGACACAGCTAAATGTGGTATATTCCTTTGAAAGTTGGTAAGAGAGTAGATCTTCAACGTTCTCACCACAAAATAGAAATGGTAATTATGTGACAGGATGGAGGTGTTACCTAATGCTGTGGTGGAAATCATTTTGCAATATATAAATGTATCAAATCAACACACTGTACCTTTAGACTTACACAGTATTATATGTCAGTTATATCTCAATAAAGCTAGAAAAAAGATGTGGTATAATTCCTGCCAGTCTATGTGTGTGTATACAAAACTCAACTAGAATGGCGCCTGGGTGGCTCAGTCGGTTAAGCATCTGACTCTTGATCTCAGCTCAGGTCTTTATCTCAGGGCCATGAGTTCAAGCCCTGTGTTGGGCTCCATGCTGGGCATGGAGCCTACTTTTAAAAAAATAAATAAAATAAAATAAAAAAACCCCCCACTAAGTTAGAATCATAGTATATATACAGTTTTATAACCTGGTTTTCCCAGATAATATATGAAGTTTTTTGTATTTTATTTTCCCATCTTGGCAGTCTTAAAAACTATTTTTAATGGCTATACTTACTCTATGGTGTGTGTGTACAAAACTTTATTATTTATTTATAAGATTTTATTTATTTTAGAGACAGAGAATGAGCAGGGGGAGGAGCAGAGAGACAGGGACAAGCAGACTCTGCACTGAGGCAGAGCCTGATGGAGGACTTGATCCCATGACTTTGAGATCATGACCTGAGCCGAAATCAAGAATTGGACACAACTGACTGAGTCACCCAGGCACCCTTAGATTTTTACTACTATAAATAATGAATGCTGTGGCGAACAACTTTGTACAGACTAATTCTAGGTCTATCAAAGGCATTTCCTCAGGAGAGTCTTTGGGACAGATCAAAGGATAAGGACATTGTAAGGTTTTTGATACGTATCTTGAACTGCTTTCAAACGGAATGTGGACCTACTCACATATCTGCCAGAAGTGCAGGCTACACCCTCCTCAGCACTGAAAACGGTCGTAAAAATCTTGCTTATTCAACAGGTAAAAAGTGGTAACTTGGTATTGGTGTATATATAATATATATGTATAGAGAGAGAGAGAGAAGAGAGAGAGAGGTAGAGAGATATTATAATTTTCTTCTTTAAAGTAAGCTCTACGCCCAATATGGAGCTTGGACTCAAGATTTTGAGCTCAAGAGTTGCACACTTCACCGACTGAGCCAGCCAGATGCCCCAGTATTGCTGTATTTTTGGATGTTAGTGAGGATGTAGAAGATGAAACCAAATTTAAACATCAGTATCTTGGTAACAATCTGCCTTTTCCTTCCTTCGTTCCTTCCTTCCGTTCTCTGGATGCCAATTATTTGGAAGGGTATTAACCTTCCTGGTTGCCCACCAACTGCCAGGAAAGATGCTAGGGATGTTTCATCTCATTTAATCTTTACAAGAGTCTGCCCCATAGCTATTTATTGTTCCCATTTTATAGATGACAAAATCAAAGTTCTAGAGGTAAATAACTTGCTGAAAGTATGTCACATGATGGATAGGGGTTAGATGTATCTCACGTAATGGAGAGGTGTTGGATGATGAGGTGGACAGGACGCTGGATCTCCATTTCCTGCTGCCCTGAGCTGTGCTATGGAACAGTGTTGGCTTAGAGTTCACACTGTTTCCTGCTGACTCCACACGTACCACTAAGCAGCTGTGCTGTTGGCAAGCAGGTGGCAGGGAAATGGCTGAAGCCTCCAAGGCCATATACACTCTGGCCTGCTCTGGCAGTTTAGGAGAAGAGAATCACATACCCACCAAAGGTGGCAGTGGGGTGACAAACCACTGCTCTGATGGTGAATCTTTTTTTTTTTTAAACATTTTTAAAAGATTCTATTTATTTATTTGACAGAGAGAGAGCACAAGCAGAGGGAGTGGCAGGCAGAGGGAGAGGGAGAAGCAGGCTCCCCGCTGAGCAGGGAGCCCGACGCGGGGCTCAATCCCAGGACCCCGGGATCATGACCTGAGCCGAAGGCAGACGCTTAACCGACTGAGCCACCCCGGCGCCCCACACTCTGATGGTGAATCAATCTTATGTTTAGGACAAGGCCTGCTTTTTCTGCCACTACCGCTCCTCTCAGAAAGCCTTTCATAAGTATATGGAGCAGGGACGGAATGGGAGCCCTTAGGGCCTGGGACGTTGCTTTCCCATCCCCCTGTGCTTTGCTATGGACAGGAGAATAACCAACTAAAGGTAGGATAAACTCATTAATGAGAGACACCATTGACTTAATGGTCATGTGATTATAATTTTGACAATAGTATAAAAGTTTGGAGAAGACATCTATGTTTTACTTGGAATTACTTAGTAGAAATATTGCTCTCAAAAAATGGTGAGGTGTTGACAAACGGATTCTAAAGTTTATATGCAGAAGCAAAAGACCCAGAATAGTCAACACATTATTGAAGGAGGAGAACAAAGTTGGAGGACTGACACTACCTTACTTCAGGATTTATTATCAAGCTTCAGTAATCAAGACGGGGTAGTGTTGGTGAAGAACAAACAGATCAATGAAGCAGAATACAGAACCCCCACAAATACAGCCAACTGATCTTTCACAAAGGAGCAAAAGCAATATAGTGGAGCAAAGACCGTCTTTTCAACAAATTGTGCTGGAACAACTGGACATCCACGTGCAAAGGAAATGAACCTAGAGAAGGACCTTCCACCCTTCACAAAAATTCAGAACGGATCACCGACCTAACTGTAAAACACAAAACTAGAAAACTCCTAGAAGATAACATAGGAGAAAACCTAGATGACCTTGGGTATGGTAATGATTGTTTATACATAACACCAAGGACATGATCCATGAAAGAAGTCAGTGATAAGCTGGACTTCATTAAAATGAAAAACTTCTGTTCTGCAAAAGACAGTAATCAAGGGAATGAGAAGACAAGCCATAGACTGGGAAAAAACATTTGCAAAAGACATATGTGATAAGGGAATGTTACATAAAATATATAAAGAACTCTTAAAACTCAACAATAAGAAAACAACCCAAATTAAAAAATGGGCAAGGGGCGCCTAAGTGGCTCAGATGGTTAAGCATCTGCCTTCGGTTCAAGTCATTATCTCCAGGTCCTGGGATCAGGCCTGCATTGGGCTCACTGCTCAGCGGGGAGCCTGCTTCTCCCTCTGCCTCTCCCCTCTGCTGGTGCTCTCGCTCTCTCTCAAATGAATATATAAAAAAAATTAAAATAAATAAATAAATAAATAAATAAATAAATAAAAATGGGCCAAAGACCCTATAGACACCTCACGAAAGAAGATACACAGATGGCAAATAAGCATTTTTTTTTTTTTTTTAAGATTTTATTTATTTGCGAGAGAGAGAGAGAATGAGAGACAGAGAGCATGAGAGGGAGGAGGGTCAGAGGGAGAAGCAGACTCCCTGCTGAGCAGGGAGCCCGATGCGGGACTCGATCCCGGGACTCCAGGATCATGACCTGAGCCGAAGGCAGTCGCTTAACCAACTGAGCCACCCAGGCGCCCCAGCGAATAAGCATTTGTAAATACGCTCCACATTATATGTCACCAGGGAAATGCAAATTTAACCAACAAGATACCACTACACATCTATTAGAATGGCCAAAATCCAGAACACTGACAATACCAAATGCTGATGAGGATGCGGAGCAACAGGAACTCTCACTCGTTGGTGGGAATGCAAAATGGTACAGCCACTTTGGAAAATAGTTTGGTGGTTTCTTACAAAACTAAACATACTTTACCAAACAACCCAGCAATAGTGTTCCTACGTTGTTTACCTAAAGGAGTTGAAAACATATGTCCACAAAAAAACCTATACACAGATGTTTCTAACAGGTTTATTCATAACTGCCAAAACTTGGAAGCAACCAAGATGTCCTTTAGTACCTGAATAAACTGTGGTAATCCAGAGAATGGAATATTATTCAGTGCTAAGCAGAAATGAGCTATAAAGCCATGAAAAGACATGGAGGAACTTTAAATGCATACTACTAAGTAAAAGAAGCCAATCTGAAAAGGCTATATACTATATGATTACAACTATATGACATTCTAGAAAAGGCAAAACTATGGAAAAAGTACAAAGATCAGTGGTGGCCAGGAATTGGGGATGGTGGATGGGATGGATACTTGGAGCGCAGAGGATTTTTAGGGCAGCGAAACTACTCTGTATGATACCATGATGATAGATATATGCCACGATACACTTGTCTGAACCCACAGAATGTAACACCAAGAGTGAACCATAATGTAAACTACAGACTCTGAGTGATGATGATGTGTCAATGTAGGTTCAGCAATTGGAACAAATGTACCAATCTGGTACAGGATATTGATAATGGATGAGAGGCCATGCTTCTCATGGGGGCAGGGAGGCATTTGGGAACTCTCTATACCTGCCCCTCAGTTTTGTTGTGGGCCTTGAACTGCCCTAAAAAACATAAAGCCTTAATTAAAAAAAACTGTGAGTAAGCTACACTAAGGAAAGAATAATTCCATGTAGTAGTGTGGCTAGTTAAACCTCCGTCAGTCATTCCACCTGGGGCATTTTTAACTCTTCTTGGTTTCCAGAGATGAAAATTCTTACTCTCCTACTATCTGTTTTTTGAAAAGGCCATGAGTTTACAGAGTAAAGTACCTAAGCATGCATAGGAGAGATGAGGATAGACTGCTTGAGGCCTATACGAGGAGCCCAGCATCAGAACACTTCTCAGAGCCCACTAGAGACGATCACTGCTTTTGCTCAGAGGGAACCCAATACATGCCTCTGAAGAATAAGCATGCTAA